CCTATAAGCTTTATTATATATAAAGTGACCAGTGGTTGCCACTGAGTATCAAATCTCACAAGCATTGTGAAAAGACCTACAGCACCGTTTGTCAAACTAAAAGGTGGAAATCTGTTACCCATATAGGTTTGTTCCTGAGCAGGGGGACATTGAACAGTGGATTTAGCTTAAAGCAGAACTCCAGGAATAGAATTTTGGGGGAAGCACCACAAATCATTTAACTTACCTCTAAATATGGATATTCTAAGCTCAGATGGCTACTGTTTATTGTACAAATGCTATTTTCTTGGATGCCAAATACGAAGCACAGTGCACTTCTTCTGGCATTACATCTGAGAGTAGTGTGTCTTTCATACTGCAAATGATCTTGTCATTTGCTCTCCCCTTCCTCCACCCTTGTCCATTCAAAAAAAACTCTGTATTCTGCTCACAGAATACAAGGTGTTCTGTGAATGGATGAAGGGAAAGGAGGGGAGAGGGGCAGATAAACATAAAGATTTCCCCACCTCCATTCACAGATAGCTTTGCATTCTGTGAAAAGAATGAAGGCTTTTCATGAAAGGACAAAAGGGAGAGGAAGGGGGGAGTGGATGACAGAATCCTTTACTTTGTTCACACCTATGCAGTTTGCTTTTGATCCATTTTTGCAATGCTTTATGCATTTTCCTTTGCGTTTTTTACATGCACATTTTTACGTGTTATGCTTTTTTTTTTCAACTTTGGTTTTTTTTTTTTGTTAAAAGGGAAATGTTTTTGTTTCAAGGCAGAATAAAGATGCAAAACGCAGCAAAAATGTGGCAAAAGCGCACTATATGCGTTTCAGCAGTGTTTCCAGTGAACTCTATTGTAGCAAAAACACTGCTTTTTGCTTATAAAAAATCACTGACTCTTTCCAAAAACGCAGCTGCACAAAAAAGCAGCATAGATGTGAACGTGTCCCATAGAAAACCACGTTAAATGAACTGTAGTGTGTTTCAGCAAAAAGCCCTAAAAAACGCATTGGTATGAACCAGGCCTATGAGAAATAGAAGAACTATCCTAGCAACTGAGACTTCCGTTTCTCCAATCTAAGCATTGAAAGTGTGATCTCTGTAACTTACAGTTGTGATGAGATAGCAATAACTCCAGTCTCAGTTGACTACCACAGTCAGTGACTCCATACAGAAGACATCTTGTAGATCTTGTGAAGTTTATTCCATAAACTGAGAAAATTTTACAACAATGAACATCTGATAGGTCAAAAGATCATAATGTGCTCTGCTTCATGAGACATAAGGCTTGCTGAAATGCATTACAGGGAAAAGGGGTGGGCTATCTATACAGCAAGAACTAAACCAGAGGAAAGGGAGGAGCAGCTACAAATTACAGAGAAAACTTAAAGACATATACTATTGTCATGTTTCACATGACTATCATTTGTACAGTAAACATAATGCTCATAATTACAGGGCACTTGTATGACTTGTGTTGTTTCCGAAAAAATGTTTTTTCTGGCGTTCTGCTTTAAAGGGATATGGTTAATTAGACCCTTACCCTAGTTGCTCTATACAGGGCCTACAAAATGTGCCTTAACTAATGTGTTACAAGTGACAGTCTTACAGACACATATACATTTCAGGACATATTTACAAATTCATTTTTTTCATTATACATGCTTTTGTGCACATAGCACACAGAACATAGGGGCAACATTTTGGGGACCACTTAGCAACAAGGTCAGGTACATACTTCCTGTCTCCCTAGGCCAACTGTCTAATATTGCCACTTCCTACCTCAATCAACTGGTTAACCATTAGTTTTACACCAATCATATTTAACATCATCATAGTGACACAAGGCACTCGGAGGTTCAATACCATCCATGCCACCTTAAGCCATGGCCTGTGTTTAAACCCATGACCCCACTCAAGTCTTGCCCCTTCCTCACACACAAAAATCCAGGTGTTGTCCACCACAGCCTGCCTCCTCTCTCCATCAAAGATGTAAAAAATGTAAGCCGCACTCCAAAACTTGACACTTTTTTCTGTATTTAATAATTGTCATAAAACAAAAAAAGACTGCATACAATAACATCTCCACCTAAAACCAGCCTTCTTTTTTATATTCATGGCCTGTGTTTACTGTGCAGAAATCCATCCCTGCAAAGTGTTGCAGTCAGAGCTATGTAATGTACATCACAGCTTACAAAGTGCAGCGGTCAGAGCTATGTAATGTACATCACGGCTTACAAAGTGCTGCGGTCAGAGCTATGTAACGTACATCACGGCTTACAAAGTGCTGCGGTCAGAGCTATGTAACGTACATCACGGCTTACAAAGTGCTGCGGTCAGAGCTATGTAATGTACATCACGGCTTACAAAGTGCTGCGGTCAGAGCTATGAAATGTACATCACGGCTTACAAAGTGCAGCAGTCAGAGCTATGTAATGTATATCATTGCTTACAAAATGCTGCAGTCAGAGCTATGTAATGTACATCACGGCTTACAAACTGCAGCAGTCAGAGCTATGTAATGTACATCACGGCTTACAAAATGCTGCAGTCAGAACTATGTAATGTACATCACGGCTTACAAAGTACAGCAGTCAGAGCTATGTAATGTACATCACGGCTTACAAAGTGCAGCAGTCAGAGCTATGTAATGTACATCACGGCTTACAAAGTGCAGCAGTCAGAGCTATGTAATGTACATCACGGCTTACAAAGTGCAGCAGTCAGAGCTATGTAATGTACATCATGGCTTAGAAACTGCAGCAGTCAGAGCTATGTAATGTACATCACGGCTTACAAACTGCATCAGTCAAAGCTATGTAAAGTACATCACGGCTTACAAAATGCTGCAGTCAGAGCTATATAATGTACATCACGGCTTACAAAGTGCTGCAGTCAGAACTATGTAATGTACATCACAGCTTACAAAGTGCTGCAGTCAGAACTATGTAATGCACAGAGTGCAGCAGCTGGGATTATTTAATGTACTGCACAGTTTGCAGGGTATATTGATCAAGAGTATGTAGAATACAGCACATCTTAAACAGTGTAGAGATATATGCATGTGTCTACACTGATGTTCGTTGCAATGACTGAAGATGAAAGATCAGCTCACCTCTCTAATATGGCAAATCAACAGTCCCAAGACAGGTGGTGCATGGCAGCACTTCTTCCATAGTGTACACCAGTCCAGGGTATAAAATTGCCAGCACATTGCAAAACCACTTTTTAGATCTTTAATAGCACAACATGTAAAAATGTATTAGAGCATTTTTCAACTAATGCTGGTCCAAATCATAGCACAATGATTAAGGCCAGTATTGGCTTAAAGGGGTCAGCGTTGTTTAGGATTTATAATGACAAATCTGTATGCAGTCTTGAGTGCAAGCCATATCATATCAAAATAGTGCATTATGAATGTTATGAAATGACCTGCTTTCTTATTATTTATTTAATTTACTTATAAAGCGCCGTCAATTTACACAGCGCTTTACATATATATTGTACATTCACATCAGTCCCTAACCCTCAAGGGGCATACAATCTAAGGTCCCTAACTTACATTCATTCATACACATACTAGGGCCAGTTTAGACAGGAGCCAATTAACCTACCAGCATGTCTTTGGAGTGTGGGAGGAAACCAGTGTATCCAGAGGAAACCCACGCAGTTACAGGGAGAACAGGCAAACTCCAGGCAGGTAGTGTATGGCATAACTTTAAATAAAAAAAAAAACATTGCAAAAAAGCTCTGTAGGTTATCCTTGCTGCTCTTCCATAGCTACAGCCTGGGAGAGTGAGAGTTAAATGTTTGCTGAATGCAAAGCAGCCATGACCAGTTACCACTTTATAGCTCATTTACTGACATGTTTGAAATCTTTTGTTACCAATTATTTGATACAATTATGTGCCCATCTAGTGATTCCGACTGCGACAGTTTGTTTGAAAAGTGTTTTATCAAATACATGAGTGTTCTGGGTGTACACATTTAACATTTCTTTTCTTGTGCCTTTATCAACCAACATGGGGAAACAATTAGATTTGACTTTTTCTATGATCTGCTTCTGCCATCTAGTGGACATGTTGGTGCAGGAGCAATTCAATGTCATTTATATCTGGTGTACAAACATCAGAATTCAGGCGTGCTATTACTATGCACTTATCTAATCAGAAATAATGTTTGGTAACCAAAGCAACACAGATTTTCACAGGGTATTAATGTATGTGCACACAATTTTCAGAAGGACGTATAGATGTCCAATGTATTCCAAGAGGCTAAATCACTAATACATGCTTTTTTTCAAATACTAACAGTCTGAGTTAAAAAATGATAGTCCTCCTAAACCTTACTGAGAATATTCTAATGTCATTAAAATTAAATTCAAAGCCTACTTATTTTGTTCTAGCAAAACAAACTAAAGATTTCCCAGCAACATTTACCAGCCAGCTTGCAAAACAACCAATTTGTTCCTGTCTAACAGTAGGCATTAAAAACAGAGGGTTTTGTTTGCACACATTTGCAAATACATGCACAAGCCACAGTTCCACGTCAAGGGTCCTTTATATACTGTGGACCTAACTAAAATTGCCAAAGTCTCCATAGTAGGAGCACATGTATAAATGGATGGGTTAAGGGCAGGTGTGCCTGGAGGAACCCACTCCTCCTTAACCACCTCCCGCCCGCCATATAAGGAAATGACGGGTGCAAGGTGGTTCTCTCATTCTGGGAGGACGTCATATGACTTCTTCCTATTCTAACCACGCATGCGCGGCTCCGGGAGTGCACAGCACGGCGATCGGCAGTGTGGTGTGTCCCTCGGGCACAGCGGATCACCAATCATTGAAAGGAGCCGAAGATTTCAGCTCGGTCATGTGATAAGCTGTGTCCAATCACAGCTGATCTCATGTAAATAGGGAAATGCCAGTTATCGGCATTTCTCTCCTCTCGAGCTGTCACGCTAACAGCTCGAGAGGAGAGGAGAGCCGGTAATTGGCATCCCTCAGAGGGGACATGTACACTGATCATCAGGGCACTGATGATCAGTGTGCCCTGATGGACACGGACAGGTGGCACTGCTGGGGCTACACTGATCATCAGTGCCAGCTATCAGTGCTCATCAGTGCCACATCAATGCCACATATCAGTGCATACCAGTGCACATCAATGCCACATATCAGTGCTCATCTGAGCTGCCTTTCAGTGTCACCTATCAATGCCAGTCAGTGCCACCTATTAGTGCCGCCAATCAGTGCCACCTATCAGTGCCAGTCTGTGCCGCCTATTAGTGCCAGTAAGTGCCAACTATCAGTGTGCATCCGTGCCGCCTATCAGGTGGCACTGATAGGGAGCACTGACAGGCACTGATAGGTGGCACTGACTGGCACTGTTAGGTGGCACTGACTGGCACTGCTAGGTGGCACTGATAGGCAGCACTGACAGGCACTAACAGTGCCAGTCAGTGCCGCCTATCAGTGCCAGTCAATAACGCCTATCAGTGCCACCTATCAGTGTCATATATGAGTGCTGCCTTTTATTGCCCATCAGTGATGCCTGTCAATGCCCATCAATTCCACCTACCAGTGCCTCCTCATCAGTGCCCATCAGTGACACCTATCAGTGCCCATCACTGCAGCCTCATTAGCGCATATCAGTGAAGGAGAAAAATAACTCATTTACAAAATTTTTAAACAAAAACTAAGAAAAAACTTTTCAGTTGTTTTTGGTTTGTTTAGCAAAAAATAAAAAACCCAGAGGTGATTAAATACCACCAAAAGAAAGCTCCATCCGTCTCAAAAAAATTATGAAAAATTTTTATATGGGTACAGTGTTGCATGACCGCGCAATTGTCATTCAAAGTGCGACAGCACTGAAAGCTGAAAATTGGCCTGGGCAGGAAAGGGGCATAAGTGTCCAGTAGGCAAGTGGTTAAAGGTACAGGGATGCACGTAACACCCAGCTATACAAAATGACAGCAAAGGCATTCAGTGCATCCCTGCATCCAATTTAGCCAACTACAAAAAAAATGGCAACCGTCCCAACCTATAACTAGCCTTTGCAAAACAAACAAAAAATGTGCATTGCCCTTCCATGTGTACCTTGCTGCTACTGCTAGGGCTGGTTATAGGTTGGGACCATTGCCATTTTTTTTGTAGTTGGATATTTTATTCTAGTCCAGACCATAAGATCACACTGCAGACAAACAGTAATCCTTCTTAGACTTAATGTACATAAAACAAATGGATAGCAGCATCGTTCACATTGTCGATTACACCAGCCGCTTTAAAGACTGCTGCTGAGTGATGGGTCACTGATAAGAGTACATCAAGCCCAACCATATAGCCACAAGTGTTTTCCAGCACTACACAACAATATAGTTAACTATGAATATTCCCAAGCTAGCTTCAGCTGGCTCTCCACCCATCAGGAAATCCGCTCTAATGCATTTCACTTATGTAGGGCCTAATCTTAGAAGACTCTACATACACTATATTGCCAAACGTATTGAGACACCCCACCAAATCATTGAATTTAGATGTTCCAATCACTGCCATGGCCACAGGTGTATAAAATCAAGCACCTAGGCATGCAGACTGCTTTTACAATTATTTATGAAAGAATGGGTTGCTCTCAGAAGCTCAGTGAATTCAAGCATGGTACCGTGATAGGTTGCCACCTGGGCAATAGGTCCATCCGTGAAATTTCCTTGCCACTAAATATTCCAAGGTCAACTGTTAGTGGTATTATAACAAGAGGAGGAAACAACTGGGAACAGCAGCAACTCAGCCACCAAGTGGTAGGCCATGTAAAATGACAGTTGGCAACTTCCGGGCACTGTGTGCTTCAGCATGTGCTGACCCCGCTATATCTGCAGAGTCAATAGCTAAAGACCTCCAAACTTCTTGTGACCTTCAGATTAGCACAACAACAGTGTGTAGGGAGCTTTATGGAATGGATTTCCATGGCCGAGCAGCTGCATCCAAGCCTTACATCACCAAGTGCAATGCAAAACGTCAGATGCAGTGGTGTAAAGCACGCTGCCACTGGACTCTAAATCAGTGGAGACGTGTTCTCTGAGGTGACGAATCACACTTTTCTGTCTGCAAATCCGATGGACGTGTCTGGGTTTGGAAATTGCCTGACTGCATTGTGCCAAGTCTACACACCCCTGTTAAAATGTGTTTGTGATGTAAAAAAAATGAGACAAAGATAAAACATTTCAGATCTTTTTTCACCTTTAATGTGACCTATATACTGTACAACTCAATTGAAAAACAAACTGAAATCTTTTAGGGGGAGGGGGAGTGGGAGTAAACATTAAAAAATAAAATAATGTGGTTGCATAAGTGTGCACACCTTCTTATAACTGGGGATGTAGCTGTGTTCAGAATTAAGCAATCCTATTCAAAATCATGTTAGATAGGATTCAGTACACACGTGCCATCATTTAGAGTGCCTCTGCTTAACCTCAAATAAAGTTCAGTTGTTCTAGTAGGTCTTTCCTGACATTTTCTTAGTCGCATCCTACAGCAAAAGCCATGGTCCACAGAGAGCTTTCCCTGTTAAAAGGTATCAGTCAGGAGAAAAATACAAAAGAATTTCCAAGGCATTATATATACCATGGAACACACTGAAGAGAGTCATCATCAAGTGAAGAAAATATGGCGCAATAGTGACATTATCAAGAACTGGATGTCCCTCCAGGCACCAGTCGATATTCGATCCACCTATAGGCAGGCTGGTTGTAATGAGGTTAATCAATTAATCGATTTCAGTACAACCAGCCTGTCAGATTTTTTTCATACACAATATCACTGCTGTAGAGACTCTCCCATCAACACTGACTGTGAAAAACAGCAACTCAGCCATGAAGTGGTAGGCCACGTAAAATGACAGTGCACAACTGTCTGCACAGTCAATAGCTAAAGACCTCCAAACTTCATGTGGACTTCAGATTAGCTCACCAACAGTGCGTAAAGAGCTTCATGGAATGGGTTTCCATGACTGAGCAGCTGAATCCAAGCCTTACATCACCAAGCACAATGCAAAGCATCGGATGCAGTAGTGTAAAGCATGCCACCACTGAACTCTAGAGCAGTGGAGATGTGTTCTCTGGAGCAGGGGTGGACTGACAACTCATGGGGCCCCCGGGCAATAGGGGATCATGGGGCCCCTGTGTCCTTAAGCCTATGAAAAAGGTACCAGGGGCATCTCATGAGGCCCCCTACTGACCCTGGGCCCTCGGGCAGTGCCTGAGTTTCCAAATGGTCAGTCCATCCCTTCTCTGGAGTGAAGAATCACACTTCTCTGTCTGGCAATCTGGTGGATGTGTCTGGGTTTGGCAGTTGCCAGGAGAACAATACTTGCCTGACTGCACTGTGCCAAGTGTGAAGTTTGATGGAGGGGGGATTATGGTGTGGAGTTGTTTTTCATGGGTTGGGCTTAGTCCAGCAATGGGCAAACTACGGCCCGCGGGCCGTATACAGCCCAGCGGACCTTTTAATCCGGCCCGCGGAGCGTGATTAAAAAAAAAAACAGCCAGGGCAGGCAAACATTGGCTGTCAGGATGTGTGTAGGCGGGGCAGCGTGAGGAACGTGAGGGGAGCTAGGCTCCTCTCACAGTCCGCCCTGAAGACCGGAACGGCACGGGAACTCGGCGAGAGGAACGCGCGGAGCAAAGGTAAGCAAATTGACACAGAGGGGACTTGGCTTACTACTTGGGGGGGAATAGTACTATGGGGGGTGAAATACTATATGAGGGATGAATTAATATGGGGAATGAATTACTATAGGGGGGATGAATTACTATAGGGGGGATGAATTACTATATGGGGGATGAATTACTATATGGGGGATTAATTACTATGGGGGATGAATTACCATGGGGGATGAATTACTATATGGGGGATTAATTACTATGGGGGATGAATTACTATGGGGGATGAATTACTATATGGGGGATGAATTACTATATGGGGGATTAATTACTATGGGGGATGAATTACTATATGGGGGATGAATTACTATGCTTACTATGGGGGAATATTAGTATACTTACTATGGATGGCATGGTAGTGTTTAAATTAATCTAAACATTTAATGTTACAAATTTTAATTTAATTTATATTAATTCACACATACACAACATTCATCTACTCTTGGTCCGGCCCCCAGGGTCCAATATATGAACCCATTGCGGCCCTCAAGTCAAAAAGTTTGCCCACCCCTGGCTTAGTCCCTTATTTCCAGTGAAGGGAACTTTTAAGGTGCCAGCATACCAAGACATTTTGGATAATTTCATGTTCAAGTTCAATTCCATGCTAAAGTTCATGTGCGTGTAAAGGCAGACATCCCAATACTTTTGACAACATAGTGTATGTATTAACTTGCTCCCAAGAAACAACTAGAAAGACAAGAAATGTTTTTTTTACTATTTTAGGTATGCTGTGTGAATGGGAACACATAACAAACATTTAATGGAGAGTTTCTCAAATTTAACTGCAGAAAAGGAAATACACTTTAACCACTTGTCGACCACAGATAGCCGATTCTGGGAGGGCATCGTATGATGTCCTCCCAGAACGTGCCCTCCTGCACGTCCTGGGGGGGTGCGCAACCGGCGATCTACGTGATTGCTGTGTCCTACGGACACAGCTGATCACGTGTTGTGGTAAAAGGCCAATCACAGCAGCCTTTTACCACGTGATCAGATGTGTCCAATGACACAGCAGATCAACGATAAATGCCGTTGCCGGTTATCGGCTGCACTTTCCTCATGCTGTCACAGCGTGAAGAAAGTACTGCCGATAACTGACAATTGTCAGAGGACGGATCGACACCCATGATCAGTGCCCAGCAGTGCCACCCACCAGTGCCGCCCATCTGTGTCCAGCAGTGCCTCCCATAAGTGTCCAGCAGTGCCACCCACCTGTGCCCATCAGTGCCTAGTAGTGCCACCTACCCGTGCCCAGCAGTGCCACCCACCAGTGCCCAGCAGTTCCACTGATCAGTGCCACCCATCAGTACTGCCCAGCAGTGTCACCCATCAGTGCCGCCAGTCAGTGCCCAGCAGTGCCGCCAGTCAGTGCCATCAGTCAGTGCCACCCATCAGTGCTGCCTATCAGTGCAGCCTCATCAACACACATCAGTGAAGGAGAAAAATTACCTTTTTGCAAAATTTATAATAGCAAAAAAAGTTTTTCTTTTTTTCTAATAGCACAAAAAATAAGATCAAAAATGTTAAAAAAAACAACCAGAGGTGATTAAATACCACCAAAAGGAAGCTCTATTTGTGTGAAAAAAATTATAAAAAAATGTCCTATGGGTGCAGTGTTGCATGACCGCGCAATTGACATTCAAAATGTGACAGCACTGAAAGCTGAAAACTGGTCTGGGCTCGAAGGGGGTATAAGTGCCTGGTAGGCAAGTGGTTAAATGAATGGTAAAATGATTTGGGATCAGTTTTGTTTATTTCTAATACAGAGTGCAACTATGATACAGTGAGTTTTCTAAAGAGGAATGAGAGCAGAGTCTATTGCAGACAGGGCAGGCAGAGATACCAATAGCAAGGTAAAAATTGAATGCAGGTTATACTGCATATAATATACAGTATATGAGACATTGATCATATCTTTTTTAAGACATTTCCTCCATGACTGG